GTGGTTTTCTCGACTTATCAGCATCGCTGCTTCCTTCGGGCTCAGTTTTGTTATTCATGGTAAATCTTTATCTGAGAGAACTACTGTTTACAGCCACTTGATGACACGAAACTGCTGTCATGCTCGCCATTTTGCTCACCATTTTGCTCAAACCGATCGTCTTACATCAAATGTTAATTATTTTTTATATAATTACTGACCAACTTACTCGCTGGCGAATAAGGAGCCCACGAAACAACACTACAGCAGTTACTACCAGTCAGAATTAATTTGATCGGCCATAATGGTAAGTTTCTTTAGAGAAAAAGTATTAATTTGATCATCTTTTCTCTCTCTGAAAGGGCCGATTGCGTGTAATGGAGAGATATAATGATAACTTAGTTGTCTCCCCCTGTGTTTTTTGCACTCTAAAGGGAGAAAAATGCTGTGCAAACTTTTGGAACATGTTGACTCAATTTTACCATGCTGAGTCACGTTGTAACACTTCCATCGTTTGGCAGCTTCATTTTAGCGACATTTTCATGATCGATGGGAATATTTTTATTTATTTCTTTTAAAATAGTAACAGAAAATCGGTGCGTGGTTTTCTTTTCAAAGCTCTGGTATTATCTAAACTGTTTTGTACAATTCTAATTTACACAGGTCACCTTCGATTCGTTTGACAACTTCTAGAAATTTGGTCATATGTGTGTAATCTGTGTTTCAAAAAACCTTTTCTTTTAGTTCCGTAATCAGTATGATAACGATGTGACAGTGTGGAGCCCTCAGGTAAGTACGTTTAGCAGACCAGGAATGCATGAAGTTCTACTTAATATTCTATAGTTGCATTGTCTGCATTCACTGGTCAACATATCATATTCCATCTAGGGAACCAAAACGTTTTTACAAAGTGTAGCTTAAGTAGTGGGAAAATGATAACAAAAATTACTGTGACCCTGCTTTCAAATCTATGAACTCAAAGTTCTTTCAATTTACTCCAAGAGTGAGAGAGAAACTCATCATTTAGACAGCTAAAGAGCTAAGTTTAGAAGTTCCCAAACCCTGTGATTCCATTTGTCCCAGTTTTACATGGACCAGAAACATTTCAAATGGTTTTCTTCATCTGCCAGGGCCGTATACATCAAATTGAATATGCAATGGAAGCTGTGAAGCAGGTAAATCATGTGCATAACTTACAGTATACTTTTGACAATGCATGTGGGATAGTATTATTTCACAGTTGTACTGCTTACATGTAATAAGTATTCAATAAAGCTAAAAATTGAATAGACAAAGCAGGAAATGTAAGCAGTTTGTATACTGTGAATGCATCCATGTGGGTCAAAACTTTATCACCAAGCTTTGTAAAGGAGTGTCATGGAAGTTAAATCATTAAAGTAGCATCATGGGCAAGACAAGCCATCAGTCTCCTTTTTCTCAGCAGTAGAGGATTCAAGTTTTGATTTTTTTCTCAAATTCATACTTGAAATTTGGGGGTGCAGCATATCTTTAAGGTGGCTTATACACAAGTTTTTTGTGGTACTTATGAGTTGGCCAGAGTTTCAACCCAAATTGGAAGCTATTAGACTTTCTTATCTGGAAATATTTCTGAGTGTGTATTCCTCTACACTTGGCATAAATTTACATCTACCTTATCAAGCAAACTGTGTTAGCATGTACGATAATCTGACTGGTATTTTTGTCTTTGTCAGGGATCAGCCACCGTAGGACTGAAATCAAAAACCCATGCAGTTATTGTTGCATTAAAAGTAAGTTAACCTGGTAATATATTCTTTTATAGTGCATTATGTTTGGCTGGCCTGAAATACATTGTGTATATAATATGTTTTGCCCCCAAGGAGCTCATTAGTGACCTTCAGCTATTTGTTCAACATCATGAGCTTTTTGTCAAAGAAAAACAAATTTGAATCCTGGTAACTAAGTAATCAAATTATACCAGCCTTTAAAGTTTCTCTCATACAAGGTGTTGAAAATTTTCTTTGTTATTGTAGAGAGCAGCATCAGAGTTGTCTGCTCACCAGAAAAAGATCTTGCCTATTGATGATCATGTGGCTGTGTCCATAGCAGGCCTGACTGCAGATGCTCGACTCTTAAGGTGAGCTTATCATTATCTTTCATAAAATGTACCATGGTAATTAATTTTTATTTACTTTATGTTATATAACCTAAAGTATGTATTCAAAATGTAACAGCCTCTTCCACTCTCAGTTACTTCAATGGTGAGCATTACACTCTACAATTAATATAACATTATTAATGGTAGCAACAATTTCATGGTAGTTACCTCCTGAAATTAGAAATGAAGTTTCAGATTTGTGAGCAAATTGCCCAGGGTACCAATGACCCTGGCTTGGTTAGAAGCCTAAAATGAAATTTCTCTTAATCGAGAAATGACCCTTATAGATGGACTGTAACTAGAGTCCACGGCCTGTGTTTCCTAAAGTACTATTTTTTTATGAGTTAACCACTGCCATTCTTACTGATTTCAATCAATTTCTCATTGCAGCAAATTTATGAGGAGTGAGTGTCTCAACTCCAAGTATGCCTATGATAGACGGTTACCCATCTCAAGACTTGTTTCTGCAGTGGGGGACAGTATCTTTTTCATTGAAGACTATTTTAAATGATAAACAATAAAGGATTTCAAAGGGGGATAAAGGTTATTTTTGTTTGAAAATAAATGCATGCAATTTGTATCCTAAAGATGAAACTACATTGACATGGATTCATGACTCATTGACTCAAGAAGAATTTTCATTGCAATAATTGAGGACTCGTGTATATTTTTTGTTGTTGTTGTTGTAAAGGGACTAATATTGATTTTGACTCTTTGGTCACTTGTTTTTGTTTTTGTTTGATTTTAAAAATAGTGTGCAAACGTGATAACTTTTCTGTTTGTGACTTCTTGAAAATGTTCTTGACCAAAAATACCAGAGATGCAAATACCAACACAGCGATATGGCAGAAGACCATATGGAGTTGGTCTTCTTGTGGCAGGATATGATGTAGGTAGTTAGTAGAATTCAGGAATTGAATTTACAACCTTTTCACCTTGTGAATCTAGCACTCTTTCCTCTCAGCCATACTGCCCTTTGCTGTATGTTTGATGCAATATTTCAAAAACTAGTGTAAGTGTTTCATCAAGGTTTCCAAACACAAGAAAATGAGACCTTATGCTTTTCTTGTTTTTGAGTGTTTAGAAACCCTGGTGAAACATGATGCACTAGTTTTTGAAATAGCTTCTCAATTGGGTTTCAGTATCAACAAAAAATGGAAATATTCACAAATTTTTCACAACTTGTTGGCAAGTTTTTTGGTGTCTCTGTTTTAAGTATTCAAATACACAATGGTGGTATTCAAATTAATAAATGAGTTCACTAGGGTTTGATGCTTTATCAAACTCAAGGGTTTGATACTACATGGAATTCATGGATAAAGCTCCATTTCAGTGTTTCAGAAATGAAATTCACTAGAGTTTGATGCTGGTTCAATATTGCATAAAACTCATGGATAATGCCTCATTCCAGTGTTTCAGTAGGGTTTCAATCCTGAGGAAATTTGCTTTTCTTGGTAAATGATAATCCCCCTTCAAATAAAATAATGAGTTTGAGAAATTCTTTTCATAAGTTAGAAAAAGGAAAAAGTTAAAAAGAAGAAGATGGAAACTTCATCAACAAATCAAAGGAGAAATGTTATCAGTACATTTGAGTTGCATTGTGTAAGATAGGTTTATTATTTTTTGTCATCAGTTTGTTCATGATAAACCATCCAGTAATCCATGATTTTTTCGTTGTATCTGTTTACAGGATATGGGTCCACATATCTACCAGACGTGTCCATCAGCTAATTATTTTGATTGTAAAGCAATGGCTATTGGTGCTAGGTCTCAGGTAAGTTATCATTCTACTTAAAAACAAATCAAGAATATTTATTGTTCCATGTCAAGTCTGACAAATTACATAATTCTTTGTTGACACTTTGCACCTTGCATGAATGAGGTCACTAAACCTGGTATGAAGGAAAGAGAAAGCAATCCTAAAATACAGAAAATGTCTGTGAAAAGCAATTGATCTTGTTCAAAACAAATAGCCTCACTGTCAAGTAATTTCATGTAGATAGACCTGCAAACTTATCAAGGTTAGTTAGACRTTACCCAGGCATGCAACTTGTGACTTAATAATTTAATAATAATTTAATAATAAGTTCTTATATAGCGCATTAAAATTGAACTCTATGCGCTTTTTATGCAGAGAAACCCGGCCAGGCATTTATCATATCAACAGAAGCAGACGTTCGGGCCCGTTCACTAACAATTAGGTGGACTGCACCAGCCGATGATGGAGGGAGTCCTATCACAGCATACCGGTTGGTCGTACTAAAGGATTACACTGAGATAACTCGTATAAATATTACTGGTCTTCTAAAAACAAATCACACTTTTACGGGTCTGGAGAGAGAAACAAACTATACGGTTAAGGTGTTTGCC